ATCTTAACAAGGTGTAGTTAAAAATGTAATGTTGCAAGTTGGTGTCAAGTTTGAACTGAGTAGAATTCCATTCCTTGTTTCAGAGTTCTTCTAGAATTACACAAGCACCTTCTCCGTGTGTTGCCAGGTAATACTGAAATCTATATCGCCCTTCCCTTGTTACAAAAGCTTGAAACCTGATTTTGAAATAATCATAATAAAAGTTTCATGCTGTACCTACATGGCAAGTTTAAGGCTGGTTTAGTGTCAAGAGGGTGAATTGGGGATTTCTGATGGCTTTTTCTTCTAAGGCATGTAACTATACTTTTAGGCTCCAAACCTATGCCCACTTATTTAGAAGGAAGCTTCACTGAACAGGCTAGGAATGGCTTCTGAGCAGATGTGTAAAAGATGGCTCTGCCATCCTTTTCCCTCAAGTCTGATCTGTCTGTTAATGTGATGGAACAGATATTGGGCTGTGGAACTCTTGGCCTAGATCCCACTTCAGCACTAAAGTTCACTAGATGGAAAGCACACTTGCTTAAGGCCTTCTCTTCCACCCATTTACATTGTTGGTGGTGATATAGGAGGTGAAGTTTGAGTCTTGCCATTTTAAATTTAATGCCACAACAGCCACTGCCATTGCGTTTCTGCTCCCCAACTGGAATTAGCCACCCAGTGAACCACTGCTCCCCTCAGCTGATAGGAACACTGCTTAGTTAGACCTCTCCTGTCAAGAGTTCCTTGCAGAAGCTGTGGCAAATAAGATTTGAACTGGCTGTGTTTGCCTCTTACGCACAATAAGGCAAAAGGCAATGAATGACTGATTGTATGATGGTGGCTCCCAACTGTTCAGGTTCTTAGCTGTAAACTGCATATTAACGAACAAAGCAAGTATTCAGCCTTGGGGTCTGAGTGTACAGTGGAGGCCATGTGTGTGAGAAGAACAGAATGCCAGAACACATCTTTCCATAGATGTCTTTTTCAGAAAAGGCAAGTGGGACCATTGCAGTTCCCAGCGCTTCTGTTTAGTATTCCAGTTGGCCATGGCTTCTCCCAGGACATCCCATTCCATTCCCCTTCCAGCCCTGGTTCTCTGTTTGCTTAAAGATAATGAAACTCAGCTCCTGAATTCACTGATGGTATATATGGCGATTCTTGTGTTTTATCCTTCAGGAGTATAGGCACACCATCCCCTCTTTCCCCAATGCCCTCTCCAGCCGGCTCTGTGAGCTCCCAGACAGGTTCCAGCGCCAGCAGCTGCGGAAGTGGAAGCATTGGCTCCTCGGTCAACGTTCCTCACTTTATCCCAACCATCACTTCTTCCTTTGTTGGCATCACTTCTTATATTCTCTATGCCTACGATTTCTGGGAACAAGCTGATGTTTTGGCCAGGAAGAATAAGAGTAAGGCTTTTTGTTTTCCTGAGTTTCTACTGACATAGTCCATGCAGCACCCTGAGGCTTTGCTTTTCCTTGGGAGGCCTATTTTGCACATTATTTGGCAAGATTGTTATGGAGAGCATCATAAATAAGCTCAGTGGCATCGGGAGCTAAGGCAGAGGGCCATTCCCAATTCTGCTACCTGATACCCTGGAAGAGCTGCTGCCAGCCCAAAAGGCAAACGAACAGTAGTAACTGTTTCTGCCTGCCCTTTTGAAATAAAATACGTAGCAGTTAGTTTCATCTAGCACTGGTCAGAATGCATGGGATCCTAAAAGACAGAAGTAAAGACAAATGTGGCAGTCATTAAGTAAGCAAAGCAGGAAATTAATTTTAAGTGGTCTCTTGGTAAAGAGCCAATGCAAGTCAAATTAGGTAGAGTTACCTTATGGCTGGTGGACATTTAATCTCTGATCCTCCCAAAATTGAACCGACATGTTCAGGCTCTGCTTGTCTCTGGCGACAACCTTGGGGTGCAGAATATCTGCAATATTGTCTAATTCACTTCCTGTTACTGGGAACTTGTAAGTCACCAAGATTTATTGGGTGAGGGGGGTTATAGTCACCTTTCTTTGCCCCTTGATAATATTCCTAGGAGGCAGAATAGTATGTTCTCCATGTTCTTAAAAAATAAGAAAACAAAATCAAAATCATGTACCAGGGAAAGCTGGATTCAGTTTGAATCAGATTAAGTACATTAGCACAGTTTCATATAATTCATATAATGTACTTTGTTTCTCAGTCATACTGTGAAGCAAGGAGCTCTGCAGGGTGCTGGGGAAACTGCCCCCCCCAAATTTTTTTAGCATCCAAGCATATCTTTCTTAATCTACATCTGGACTAGGAAGATGTTTTGGGGTTCAAATGCAAGCTGAGATTCCTGTGAAACTGAATTTTGCTCCTAATACCAAGTATTACGTGCTGTGGGGTTAGGGTCCCCCCCCCCCCCTGCACTGCTGCAGAACTGGAGCAGGCAGATAGTGCTGCCTGTAAACAGCTATGGTGAAAACGCTGCCCATGAAGGTCTTTAAGAGTGAGGTACTTTCAGCTAAGCATTTAGGCAGCTTGAACAATGCCTCCTATATTTCTGCCGAACCCTTTCCATGCCTGAGCTGTGCAGACTGCAAGGAGCCAAACGTGTGACGCCAGATTTCCTCTTTTCTCTTTCTCTCCCTCTCAGAGTTTTTCTCCGAGCTCAGCGCTGCCGCCTGCCCTCTCTCGCTGAACAGCAGTATGATCGAACTGGTACACTACACCCGCCAGGGTTTGCAGTGGCTGAGACTGCAACCAAGTACGCCTTAACTGGTGCTTCGAGGCGAGAGACCCTTGCCTTGGACTCTTTGCACTTTGAAAAGCCTCCGAAAACAGCCTGGTTGGCTGGCTTGTTGGGATTTATAAGCACCTGGAACAAGGAAGGATGGAGCTTGGTGGAAGGGGATCTGGCGCCACTGGAAAACTTTAAGGACTATATTTGCTACGGTGCCAATAGGCCACCTGGAAGATAAGAAGTGGAGAAGAGGCCTCAAAAGTGGAGGGTGCCTTTCTTTCTTTCTTTTTTTCAAAGGACAAAGTGCAATGTTCTCTTTTTCATTTCTCTTTTTCCCATCATGGTTCAATGTGTCAATGGTCTATAAACATTTCGTTACATGAATAACCAGCAGGACAAAAAAACAAAATGAAAAAAAAGAAGTACACACATGAAGAAGTGCCGGTGAGAAGGAAAACCGTCTCCCAAAGAATTTTCTGCAACACCTCAAAGGATGCAACGTCCATGGGCCCAGCGTAGGCTTCACATTTGTTTGCCTCTCTTCTTCCCCTCCCCCTTTAAATGTAAACCACAAAATGCAATCTGTAGCATGTATTCTTGTTCCTGGAGGGTGGGATGGACAGAGACTCACAAAGGAAGCGGGGTGATCCAGCAGCACGACCCCAACTTTGTTTAAATACAAAATGGCAAAGCTATCTTCCTCCTTCCCTCTCTCTCTCCACTTGCCAGCCGTAGCTATTTGTTGCACTACTACCCTTTCCCCCCCTTTGATGGGTGGGCTTGTAGCTCGTGTCAGGCATACCCAGATTCTGTAGCTGGCCTGCCCAGCCCCTGCCTCTTCCCTGGTTTCCTTTCTACCTGTGCTGACAGTAGTGTGCCAGTCCCAGCTTTTGTGGTATTGCGGCCATGCGTGTGGGGCATTGACAATCTCGTATGGGAAACAGGAAATCTGGGACTGTGTTGTCAGAAGCCTCTTGTGAATAGAGGATACACAGTGTAGGTATGTTTACCCCCTCCCTATGGGGTGGCAAGGTGGAGGTGGGTGGGCTGGTTTCCCCTCCCCTCCAAATTTAGTTGAGCAATACTGCACTAATGAATTGAACTGGAATTGCTTGCAACGGCTGTCTTCAGTACTTTAAAAAACGCCGTTCTTTCAGTTCCCCTGTAGTCCATACAGTGGACGCACTTGACGTTTCAGCAAAGGGGTTTGGTCTTGGTCTTACAGGGCAAGCACAGTTCATGGTGGCTCTTTTGCACAAGCAGGAATCTGAGGAGTCCCTGGCTAGCACAGGAAAAGAGGAGTTGGGCAGTCAGGAGGGCTCATACTGGCTGTAGCAAGATTATTTTTCAGTTTTCGATCCTTAAAGCAGAAGGAACTTCGTAGCACGCCATCTCACGGTCTCTGAAATGGCTGGTTCGGTTTTTGTTTGCACTGGTTATTGATGCCCAACTTCTATGTCTACTGGCGAGTATGACACCTGACCGTAAGATTTGGCATAACCCCTTCCTTTTTAAAATACTTCCATTTCCTCAACAGTAACCTATCGGTTTGGCCAATTTTCAATCCACATTCAAGGAGAGTAAATGGCAATTGTCTTAGATTCGCAAGCATATCCTCTTGTGTCTTTATAAAATTCCCAATTGAAGAGAGGGGCTTCAGGACTGTAGCACCTCTGGCCTATTTACTGCTCTCTGTTTAGTCTAAAACTCATTAAGGACCCATTTTTCTGTTCTCCTCCCAACTTGTGCCTTAACTGTCCCATTTGCTCCTGTCATCACCGGGCTTTATGACAGAGCAGTGGGAATCTCTTCCAAATAAACTGTGCTTGAGTGAGGCATCACAGTTTCCTTTACAGCTGACTCCTGATATTAAAATGTCAGTCTGACATTCTTACATGTTTGTCCCATATAAAACTGCCCTGCAGCATTGAAGCAGTATTCCTGTTTAGAAGGACCTGTTATGTACTTGTAGGGTTTGCTAAAATGTCACTGGACCTCATAGCTTCTGTGATTCAATAGTAGGGTGTTCCTGCAGCTCCCCTCTGGAAACACAGCCCTGCAAAAGTTCAGCATGGAAAGTCTCATGGAAAGTTGAAGCCTTAGTTGATTTCAGGGAAAAGCCACTTTCTCCAATGGGGAGCAAGTTCCAGATTTTCATCCCAGTTTAATGTTGTTCCTTAGGGTTGAACTAGACTTGGGGCAGACAGCCAGGATCTTCATTGAAGTGTGGCAGAATAGTCCACGGAGGGCACAACTTGTCTGGCACCCTGCTTTTTTGGTGCAATGCAGCCGGAGGAGGGAAGAGTTTAGCAATGTCCCATGCCTGCCCCACCCCTGGCTATTCACACTCCCCCTGCCCCTCCTCTGTTTTGGGGCTGCTGGGCAGACCCAGGCCACCAAATTCCAGAGCTTCTGTTGAATGCTTAGCTCCTTACACGAGCAGGTTCCAATCAGAAATGATGTGGAAAAGGAAAAGGAGGCAACTCCAAATATCAGGTGCTTGCCCTTTCCTGGGAAAGGACACACAAAGCAATTATGGTTACGCCCAGGTGTCTTATCCTAGTAAGCTATTGTGTCCGGCCAAGAAGCAAATGCACACTAAACTCATTTTGTTTCTCTTTTCCAAATCATGTCCCTCTCTTCTGACTGGTTGACAGCTGTAGTCTCAGGACTGGCTTTCTCTTCCTTTCTCTGCTCCCCTCTCCTGGCCAAATGGCATCAGCCAGCCGCTGCTGCCGTTTGCCTTGTTGCTGCTTTTGCTCTGTTAAAACACACCCTGAGCTTAAGAATCCCCGGTTGTCAAGGGACCCACTTTTTGACCTGCTTGTTGAGCACTTTATCCAAGGGGTAGTGATCATTGGTTCCTGTTTAATCCATTTATGCTGCTGACTTTATATTACCGTTTGTGGGGTGATGCAAAGATGAGCAGCAAAGAACATAGGCTTTTCCCTCCTCCTCCTTCAACCAACCAATGAACAGAAAGATTCCAATCTGATTTGGTCCAGGAATGTCCTATTCCAAAACCAAACAAGAGCACAGCTTCCCTCTTAACGTTCACAGAAGCTAAGCTGAATTACGTGTGACATGTTCTGCAATTTCTTTTTATTTTACATGCAGTTGCAAAGAAGCAGTTGGTCTATGGGGAATCACGCTTAGGAAGCTTATAACCTCTTGACTTTTTTTTTTAATGTTATTAAAGAAAGATCAGTTGAAGAATCAGAGAAAATGTCATTTCACCCCCTTTCCAGACTCTGGTACCCCAGATGTTGATGGAACTGCCATTGATTTCAGCCAGGGCCTGGGGCCCAGCCTATCTAAGGAGCAAGAAGTAAATTTGTTTTGCCATTTTAAACACAGGTCAATGGAGCTGTGTACTTAAAGCAGCCTCCTTTCCCAGATGATATTTATTTAGAATTATAATTAATGTATTTAAATTGCCAATGTTCTATATGTCTAAGATACCATTATTTAATAATTTTGAAAGTTCCATTGACACTGGAGATGTGGACTGAAAGATTGATGACAATTTAATTTTTTAAGGGCGTTATCTCTTGCCCTCCCCCTCCTCCCTCCTTAATTTCTTTATATATAATAAAAAAGAACTCTACATTAAAATTTATTATAGGGTGTTGTATCTCCCATTTGTAAATTACATTTTCTGCCCTGTATATTGGTGGTATTTCCAGGTTGATTTGTTAAATTCATGTGGGGTAATAAAATAAATATTAAATGAAACAGCATTTTTCTTGAAGAGTCGGTGTGGAAATATTTTTAAGCCATTAACAGCTCTGGTATTGGTCTCCAAAAACAAAACAAAATGCCGCCAGTGACGATATACTGGTAGGGTAGCAAGCTTCTGAACTGAATAGAATGCCAGCGCCTCAACTTTCAAAGAGAAGAATTCTGTATTGTTTCAATGTCTGGATCTCTGAAAATTCCAGTAATAGCAGTGATGTCCAGAAAAGATGCCACGAGAATCCTTCAAGGAAGCCCTGCACAGCTTGCACCCCTCTAAGCTGAATACAGTCCCTGCCCCAGCAAAAAACAAAAGCCGACCTGAACTTCCTGTTTTGTTGCCTGCCTGCGTTTCAGGCCAGTATTAGCCTCCAGTATCCTTGGGCAACTGCCATGGCTCAAGTACCTAGTGGGGGCTCCATTGAAACGGATACCTACATTGGGGTATCCCTTGGTGGAGTGCCCTGTCAGCATCGCCCTTGAGCCAGTGCCACCAACTGGACTCATCTACTTCAGCCCCAATTGGGCTAGGCGAGCTGGGTAGCACTTCCAGAGACCACCTTCTACACAGGAACAGGTCAAAGTGCTGTGGACTCACAGCTTAGAGTTGTGAGCACCGGATTCACTCCAACAAGTAGACAGTCGTCGCACAGCAGAGTATAGCAAAGCATAAACGACTCGGAGACCAGCTCTGTAGAATAACTACTTTTATTCTATCTACAGCTATAATACACAACTATGTACAGAGCTAAATGAGGTCTAAACGAAAATGCTGAACTGCACTGAGTGTCTGCAGCTGCTCTTAGCAGCAACCTTATCTATACACACGATCTCTCTCTAACTCAGTCTCTCTCTCCGACACTTTTGATGTGAGGCTGGAGTGGAATAAGTAGAGAGTAGAAACCGCCCCTCCTCTCTGGAGAATCAGCAGAGAACATCAGCAGATTCTTGGATATGGGAGGGGTGAAATCTCCTCATGCCCAGCATAAATATCACTTCAGGGCACCAAACAGAGTCTCACTCCTGTTTGGTGGGCCCACTGAAGGGCCCTGAGATGCAAAGGGGAGCTCTCAGATGGCACCGCTTTGAAGGCCACAACAAGGTTCTAATCAACCCTCTTATGTCACCAGGTAGCCCCAAAGTCTTGGATGTTTTTGGTGGATTGGAAGGTGCAGAGACGTCATCTGGGGCTTTATCCCAGAATTACAAATGAAGCTGGTTAATTTTTAGTGATCCTAATAGTGCAAGAAGGTAACTTCTTGACTTTGCTTATGAAGTTGTTTTCAGCATTTCCTTGCTTAATACTATTGGAAGCTAAAAACGTGGGCCTTTCTGGCGACTCTGCACTCTTAAAACGCAGAATATAAATCATGCATTTTTATGTTCCTGGCAGTATAACGGTGGCAGCCTGAATCCTGGAGTGCAGACTAAAAGCCAGTGGAGCTTGTTGGCTCTCAACTCTTGCATGGCTTTGGCTGGCAAAACAAAACCACTATTATATTTTACCCTCCACCTTCAGTATGTAATAACACTCTCCTCATTATGTTTTAAGATTATCACGCTGTAATTTGTCTTCATAACACTTCCCCCCCCCCCCATTGTAAGACCACTAAAACCTGCAGCTGGGAGCTTCTTAATCTAGCCCAGCAGCATTCTTTTCTTTCACTAGCTCCTCACCAATTTTTATTTCTTGTCCTAAGAAAAGTACAGTGGTACCTCGGGTTACATACGCTGCAGGTTACAGACTCCGCTAACCCAGAAATATTACCTCAGGTTAAGAACTTTGCTTCAGGATGAGAACAGAAACCATGCAGTGGCGGCAGCAGGAGGCCCCATTAGCTAAAGCAGTGCTTCAGGTTAAGAACAGACCTCCAGAACAAATTACGTTCTTAACCCGAGGTACCACTGTACTGGCATATTCTTACTCTGACAGATGCCCCCTATGTCTCTGAAATGCTACTTGTAGAAAAACATATTATCCTAAGGATGGGTACAATTCAAAAGGGTAGTTCTCCTAAACACTGAATTTTGATGCGCTCCCATTCATTTCACAGGGGCTTCTGCAAGAGACAACCCCTCTGCATTATGCCTTAAAACACTAAGCATGAAGGGACAGAAAAAGACAAAATATATAACAAAGACACAAAAAAAGAGAAAAATTCCTTCCAGTAGCACCTGAGAGACCAACTAAGTTTGTTATTGGTATGAGCTTTTGTGTATGCACACTTCTTCAGATACCTTCAGATACTTCAAGTATCTGAAGAAGTGTGCATGCACATGAAAGCTCATACCAATAACAAACTTAGTTGGTCTCTAAAGTGCTACTTGGAGCAGGAACCGGCAAGCCACTCCAGTATCCCTGCCAAGAAAACTCCATGGACAAATACAACAGGCATATGAGTGCCTGGCGTGCTCTGGTCCATGGGGTCACAAACAGTCAGACACGACTAAACAAAAACAAGGTGCTACTGGAAGGATTTTTTTATTTTGTTTCGACTATGGCAGACCAACACGGCTACCTACCTGTACCAAAAGAGAGAAGAGAGCAAACCCGAAACTTCGAGAAGCAGCAGCACGTACCTAAAGCAAATGCTGAATACAAGCCAAGTGTAAGAGCCAATCTGATTATAATATATAAGCAACACAAGGTAGCTATTTCAGGAGTGGAATTTGCTGTGGAGATGGAGGTTCAAATCCCAGCTCTGCCATGAAGCATACTCTCTCTGCTAACCTCTCTCACAGGATTGTTGCAAAGATAAAACAGGATAATGCACCCCCAAGCCCCTCCATGTACATCAGCCTAGGTTCTTTGGAGCAAGAAGAGATACGAATGCGATAAGGAATCTGATACCAGAACAAGAGCCAAAGGGAAATGAAATTGATAGACAACATGAAACACCAGTGCAAGACAAACCCTTGTATATTTTGCTGATGTGCCTGTAGGAGACTTGTTTGAATTGTGTAACTCAACTGTGCAGCCACTTCAGAAAGAGACCCTGTCCTCCAAAAGATCATAATTTTATAACCTCTGTCATGTTCTCCTTCCTTTTTTCTCTATAAAGGTAAAGGGACCCCTGACCATTAGGTTCAGTCGTGGCCGACTCTGGGGTTGCGGCGCTCATCTCGCTTTATTGGCCGAGGGAGCCGGCATACAGCTTCCGGGTCATGTGGCCAGCATGACTAAGCCGCTTCTGGCGAACCAGAGCAGCGCACGGAAACGCCATTTACCTTCCCGCCGGAGCGGTACCTATTTATCTACTTGCACTTTGACGTGGTTTCGAACTGCTAGGTTGGCAGGAGCAGGGACCGAGCAACAGGAGCTCACCCCATCGCGGGAATTCGAACCGCCGAACTTCTGATCGGCAAGCCCTAGGCTCTGTGGTTTAACCCACAGCGCCACCTGCGTCCCTTTTTCTCTCTCTCTATACAAAGACTCAAATGTTTTAACATAGGGGAGTTGCTCGTTATGGAGCAAACAAATGGTTACAACACCCACCCTCGACTCTTAACTGCATAGTTTCCTACTTAGAGCATTTATGTTCAGGGCCATTAGGTTAACAGCAGGGGAGAAGCAGATAGCCAGCCACTGAGTGGGACACATTAAAAAAACTGCTGCCCCGCAAGCTGGCCCTAAGGCTTGCCTGCTTTTTCCATCCATAATCCATACTACATGTAATTTATTACCACTAACCGCCCTCAGGCCGTATGTGAATACTACTGCCTTTTAAAAGGCTGTCCTCCTGCAACAATTAAAAAGCATAAAGTTAACAACGTAGTGTTCCACACCAAAAGATTTCCCAATAGTCTCATTTGTACCAAATGTTGGATACAGGTTGAAAGCGGAGCTATACAACAACTGTTCTTAATCTGCTTTTTCTGGCAAAGGGAGATCAGTATGTTGGACCCTTTTAGTGTGAAAGTCTCTCTCAGAACAAGAGCACTGCAGCTGCATCTATATAATGCAAAATTGACATTCAAAACTCTGCTTCAAAGCACCGTGAAATCAGCCCTGCACATAAGCCAAAGAAGAAGAAAACCTCAACATTTAAGTACCTTTTATGAGTTCAAACAAAAGTCCTGCAACATGCATATGCTATACAGATGTAGCAGAGGCAGCTGGAGCAAAATTAATACAGGATTATGATTTGCAGAAACATTGACATGGATACATCCATTTAAAAAGTTAATTGATTGCTTAAAGCTGATTGTGCATTTGGCAAAGTCTAGAATAGGCTGTTACTATGCAATACAGGACCTTAGAATCTCTCTTGTTCCTGGTGACATTGATATTTATTATAGTCAGAACTGGAGAAATTTTTTAATCTCCTAACCCTTCAGCACCAAGCTGAATATTTCAGATTTCTAAGAACACCAATACTTCTTTTTCCAGTTCTGTGTACATCTGTTTTGACTTACCAAAAATTAGCACCAAATGCCAAAGAGGCCTTTGCCACCTTAGAGCCCTTCCAGCGTTCCAAACTACTTCATGCATTGAGAGCACCAAGCCTCCAGAAGCTCATGCCCTAATAAATCCATTAGTCTCTAAAGGTACCAGAGGACTCTTTAATTAAGGCTGAGATAATGGACAGCCTGCAGCAAGTTCTCAAGTTGGGTGAAGCCAGGATTTTCAAACCAGCCTCCCACATTATAAGTCTCTGATGATTCAGAGCAAATTTCCATAAGCTATGTTGCTGGTCTCCTTTGAGGAGGACAGGAAGTTACAGCCCTTTCCCTCCCTCTGCTGGGAAAAAATGCACAGTGCAGCTTCCTAGACATGAATCGTTCAAATGGTCTGAGATGAGCAGGGGATACCAGCCCTCCAGCTCCCATCAGGCCTAGTCAGCATGCCCACTGGTCATGAAATAATGAGAGCTGGAGTGCAGTAATCGGAAGACCACAGGTTCCCCATCTCTGGTCCAAATGACTATATAATACAGACACGCCACTGTCATCTATTACTGCAGTGTCATCACTCTACAGGAAACAGAGAGGCTCAGGGTGTCTCCTTCCCTTGAAATCTTTCTTTTCCCGCTGCTCATTACAAGAACTCTAACCAGTGTTTTTTTCTAGAAAAACAGGTGCCGGTACTCACCATGAAGCTGTTACAGTAAGTGCCACAATTTTTAACAACAACAAAGAGGTGCTGCTCCGCATACCATTGAGTACTCCCTGAAAAAAAAGCACTGTCCATAACTAAGAAATCATGCCCAAGTTCTCTGTTTTCTCTTCCCTCCCGATCACTTTCTCTTCTATGTCATGTCTTTTGGATTATGTAAAGGCAGGGATCGTCGTCATCAACACTTCTAACCCACTCTGGGAGTCATAACTGCTCCCGCACAGCAAGCTATAAGTTTGTGACTTAGTGATACGAGATGCAGCAGGCAGAATGAACAAACCCATAGCAGAAACATGTTGCATTTTAAAAAGTATTTGGCACTAGGAATTATGATTACAACCTCCTCTCTGCTTCATGTTTCTAGAGATTTCTATGATGATCTGTTGCACAGTGCTGCCAGAGCTATCCTTGGACTGCACAGCAAGACACCAGCAGGTTACAAAATATGCATCTAAACAAAGGACTCTGACCACAGGTAGTTCTATCAGCAGAACTCTGTCAAGAAATAAAATTTAATATCATAAGGTAGATGGTTCATCAACACTAACCCTCAGAAGAGCAATAGTTTCTGATAATTTAATGTGCAGTTTATTCAGATAACGTCTGTATCTTTTAAGCGTCAGTGATAAGGCTTCCAGGGGACCTAAGATACATCCGCTACCTGCCTTTCAGCACTGAAATTTCACCCAAATGAGAAATAAATGCACAAGCCAACAAATAAATGTATTTTATTACAATATTGCCAATTTCCACACAACATACCACACCACTTCATTCTGCATTTTGTCCACTGGATACCACAGACTAATACAAACCAGGTTTTCGAAGTGGCAGTGCAATAGTAAAGTGATAGAACTACATACAGAGAATCATTAAATATCTGTTTCTCCAAGAAACACAGTGTTGTTATGCCCATATTGTGCCTCAAAGCCAATCCCACCCACCATAAAATGTTTAGGCATAAAGCTTTAGCCATATACATTTTGCCCAAATCTTCCCTTGTGAGATGGGAAGTTACAATTTCATATGTAGTTGTGTTGAGGCAGCTCCCAAATCGCATACCCAACATCAAAATGCCCAGTTTCCTTTATGATAAAAGGATGCGGCATTCTGTTCCTTGCCTCGTGAGCTTTTGCCACAACAGAGGTAAGCTGCCCCAAGACGCTTGCTCTTAAAATACAGCTATACACTGTCTCACACGCAGAGCTCCATAGGTTGGGTGCTAAGTAACCAGAACAAAAGAATTTCAGGGCAGTTCTGACAAAGAATTGGGGTGGGGTGGGGGGATAAAAATTAGACCCACTACATCAAATCAGGTAAATTAAATTTTAAAAGGAAAAGACCTCAAATTAAGTAAACCTTCAACTAATGTACACACAAATCTAATTTCATCTTTCCTTCAGGCTGCCCAATAGAAATATTTAGCATGATTTAACAACTGTACTCTCCTCTAAGTTAACAATAGAACAAGACACACACAAACCACTAGAGAAAGGCTTGATCCATTCCAAAACACTAGCTCTCCCACCAGGAAAGGGAGGGAGGTATGGAAATGAACCCGCATGGGTTAAGACTACAAACTTTTCCTTATGTACTGCTGCTTCTTCAAGGAGCTCACACAGTGAGATGCTGGGTGTCAACCTAGTTCCACAACTTCATACCATATTAAACCTTTCACCTGGATCTCTGCAGATATTCACCCAGGGACAAAGTTCACCATCTGACAGGGATTCCACAAAGGTTCCTCCATCCTGCGGTGGCACTGCAGTATTGGGCCCCAAGAACTTCTTTGGGAAATGACTTGCAATGATTGTTTTGAATATAAAGTGAGCATACATGCACACGCGACACATACGTAAGAAAGAACAAAACTTAAAAGATTATCCCTTTCATTACCATTAAGGCAAATTAATTTTCTGGCTTTGCAGAAAAGTCCATTCAAGGTGAGCAGCACAAGATGACCAGCTTCTGAATGATTTGTTGAACGATTGTCCCAAAAGTCACATGAGAAATCTGAAAATGGAATGGTCCAGGATTCAGATGCAAGGTTGGAAACTGAAGTAAAAGCCAGTAACCTCAAGGAAAACAGAGAAAGGTGATTCATAAGCAGCAGGAGAGTGGACGCAAAAATCCCTCTAGCTCAGTGGTTTTCAACCAGTGTGCCGTGGTACCCTGGGGTGCCTTGAATGATGGTCAGCGGTGCCGTGGGCAAAAGTGCCCTCTGTCTCTTTTTCCTTCCCTCTGATGCCCTCTCACATCTCTGCCTCCCAAAGGTTTGTGTGGCTGTTTGTTGCAGCAGCCCTGGCTAAAAGCTCCCCAGGCAAATGGTGCCTCTGGGGCTGGCCATGGGGTGCTGGTTGCCAGGGGTTGAGGTGGCCTTGGAGCAAGCAAGCAAGTGGGCAAGAGAGCTCAGCTAGCCAGTCCGCCAGCCCTTGCTGTTGCAAATATGCAAACAAGTTGGAAGCCTGGCAGGCAGCCAGGTGCTGTGCTGGCCTTCCTTGTGCTTACTGTGTGCAAGGCCTGCCTGAGAGGTGAGTGCCCAATGCTGAAGGGGAGCCTTTTCCACCATGCAGGCCCAGCAGCACCCACTGCTGTCATTGCTGCCTCCCAAAGTAAGGTGCTGGTCTCACGTTCACCTTTGGCCAGTTTCCATTGGGCCACTAAGCCTGGGGGCACCCTCTTCCTGTGGGGCAGTGTGAGGAGGCACCTCTCTTTGGGGCAGGGGGAGAGCTCAGAGACTAGGGGCAGCGGCAGCAGCTGCCCAGAGGACTCCCAAGGAGAGGAGGCTGAGGGAACACGTCACAAGGGAGGGCATTTGAAAAAAGGGTGAGAGGCTGCCAGCTCTGCAGGCAAAGGGTGACATAACTGGGCAGGGGTGCCACAGAAAGAATGTAGTTGGCCTAGGGAGCTGTGGATTCAAAAAGGTTGAAAACCTCTGCTTTAGCTCTTAGGATGAAATGAAGATGGTTCAATAAGCAATATATTTCACCCTGTTACAACATCACTAGCAACCACTATTTTTTCATAATTCTTGATCCAGACAGTTCATGATCCTTGTTTCTACTGTACAATTTTCAACAAGGAAGCAGAATGTAGTTGTTCTGTTACAAACCGATTCATCTGTGTGGCCTGAGCAAACAAAACTGGCATCAAATGCAGTTTCTGAAAACCAAGATATCAGAACACCAGAATCTCTCAAGTGTTGTTCAAGTCAATTTCCTAATTAACGCTTTTCAGGAGTTCAGGCTTTTATAGGTCTTCATAGTGTTACAACTGTAGAACAACTGTAGAACACATTTACACATAAAGTCAAGAGTTTTTAAACAGAATGTATACAAGTCTTAAAGGATTCTTTAGATAACTGTGATAATTGTAAGTGTACCAACTTTTGAGGACAAATCCCAGTCATTTGAAATATACAGATGAAAGGTTCTCCAACATCTTTGGCAGTTATAAGATGCTTAAAATGAAGTCCCCACATCTCTGTTACTATGAAAACACTGGGGGACGTGTTCTAAGCCAGACCAACCTGTTGCCTTCCAAATGTTGGACCCAAACACCCATTGGTGTCAGCAGAATGGACAATGATCAGGAATGATGAGAGTTGTAGTCAAACATCTGGAAAGGCACAGGTTCCTCACCCCTGTACTAAACAACTGGTGAGGCCATATTTGCAAACTTAGTGCTACATGCATGAGCTAGAATGAGCCCTGGCAATGCCGTGGATGCCCTCTCTTCCCTTGTGGCCAAAAGGACATTCCTTGCATCTCTAGTCCTGTTTTCCAAAGCATTGATTTATCACAAACTCTGGTGAATTTCAAGATAAGCCAGACTCTTATGAAGGTGGTTTGTTTAACTAAGATTTGAGAGAAATCAGGATCCCTGGTCCAGATGAGAAGAAAGGCTGAGATTCATGGAAAGTGAAGCTAAACATTGCCCAAGACCAAGGAGAGACGAAGGAAAAGGCGGCCAAGGATGTACTGAACTTGATTCAGCTCATGCATGTAATGCTAAATCATAGTTTGCTACCAGGTATGAACATGAACAAGTTCTATAAATAAAAAAAGCTTTTGAGTATCTACACATACTGCTTTAAAAAAATCAAGATGTCTTTGCACAAAGGTTGTAAAGTATTGTGGCATTTCACAAAGTCTTCAATTTTACATGCAATCCACCACATTGCTGGACCCTTGACCCACGTCGCGGATCTGGCTGCCAAGGCAGGCACACACGGCTACACCAGCCCCAGCTCTGCAGTGAGACACGGAACCAACAAGCTCCCACCTGAGAAAGAATGAAAGAGGAAAAATTGAATACAAGGGGAGTTAGCAATGCAACTGTCCTTGGCATGTCAAATATCTTAAAGTGAAAAAAGCTTAGCTACATCTTTCCTACACAGCTTAGCGTGACAAAATCTCTTATACAGTGCTAATTTTGAAAATTGCTTCTATTTTATTTTTGTAACTATTTATGGGTTCTACCACTACCCATGAAGGAAACTTTGCTGAAGAACTAAATGATGGTCCATTTGTATTTAAATAGCAAGACTAGGCAGAGGAGAGGGTTTAGCTTCCCATGCACAAAGACAGCAATAGTTCAAGGTCAAATATAATTTTAAAACAAGATTTTTATAATTGCTTATATATGTCTAAGAACAATGAATGAGTTCTGGGGTACTTTTTTCCTACCATCTCTACTTTGTCAAAATTCCTGCTTTTCTGCTTCCTAGACTCATCCATTACAACAGGTCTGTCAAAAAAAACCCACAACCCTTTTCACTTGTACATTTGCCAATCCCCTAGAATGAATACTAAGTCTAATAACTGCTTGGTGGCAGCTGCAATAGAGAAAGTGAGACTTTAACATCAACTACACAGATTTTCCCTACTTTTCACAGAATCATGGAATTGTAGCATTGGAAGGGACATCTAGTCCAACCCACTGCCATGAAAGAAACTCAACTAAAGCATCCATGACAGATGGCCATCCAAACTTTGCTTAAAAATCTCCAAGGAAGGAGAGTCCACCACCTCTTGTGGGATTTTTTTCCTGCTGAACAACTCTTACTGTCAGAAAGTTTGTCCTGATGTTGGGTTGGAATCTCCTTTCTTGTACAGTGGTACCTCGGGTTAAGTACTTAATTCGTTCCAGAGGTCCGTTATTAACCTGAAACTGTTCTTAACCTGAGGTACCACTTTAGCTAATGGGGCCTCCTGCTGCTGCCACTGCGCGATTTCTGTTCTCATCCTGAAGCAAAGTTCTTAACCCGAGGTACTATTTCTGGGTTAGCAGAGTCTGTAACCTGAAGCGTATGTAACCTGAGGTACCATTGTAACTTGAATCCGTTGGTTCACGTCTCATCCAGCATAAAGACCTAGCTCTGTAAAAGCAAGAATCAAAGTTACCTGTTCACCACAGGATCAAAGGCTTCCACTGTATTCAGGTAAGCATTTCCATTATGCCCTCCAACAGCAAAGATTTTGCCCATTAACGTTGCTATGCCAACTCCACCCCGAGGCGTTGTAAGCTCCGCTACATATTCCCACTTGTTGCTGCGAGGGTCAAATCGTTCAACAGAGCTCAGCGGAGAATTGTCATCAAAGCCACCTGCATCAAGGCATATACATATAAGTGAAGCATGAAATCTTCTCTCAGACTATGCAATAGTTTTATCACAAGCTGTTCTGCGGAGCAAAGCTAGAGGATGCATAGTGACCCAGTTATTCAAACAGTGCAAAAAAATACAATGGATCTGCTATTTGACCTAAAAGCCCACAATTCTTATAAAGCTAAATCCTAGTCCATTGTTAGCATGATCTGTAAGCAAGTGTACCTCAATGTTAGTAAGAAGAGGAGCCCGAGGTTTATGCCCAGTAGTGCACTGTTGCCTTGAAAAAAGATAGCTTGTTTATCACTTTATCACAAAATATAGTATTGTCCACAGCCAGCGACGAAAATACTTAAAATCCAGTGTAATCATTTGATGATGTTGTTTCAAACACTTACAGCAAAGCTACAAGAAGATGAGTTATGCACATGGAAAAACGTCTAGGTGCTACTCACCTACCACATATAGGCAGCCATGGAGTTCACTAACCCCATTGCCAGCTCTTCGCTGACCCATTTCTTTCACTTCTATCCATTTATCTAGATGAGGATCATACTTCTCCACGCTGGAGAGAGAAGCTACACCATCATTTCCACCAACAGCATATACATGGTTCTGAAAAGAGGAAAGATCAAATGTATGTTCTATCCAACAGCCAGGCCCAAGGGTGAATTAGGTGTGATACTGCAGCAAAAATGAAGATGTGTCCCTTCTGCTCTCACAATGTATAAAGAAACAGTTGTCAACCAGCTTGCTAGGCAGCAGCAGTCTATCCCCAAGGATAAAATTTTGAGCACCATATAATCATTGCCAACACAACAGCGAGCTTTCAATCCAATTTACTAGATGAGTTTTCAGGTTTCAAAATTATTGCCTGTGTATATTACTTATTTTATACTTGCCAAAGTTATACTGTACTTATATGAACCCACATTCATTATTTAATTCTATTTAGTAAATATAGTCTTTTTATCAATTACCCCTCCAAAAAAAATGAAAAATCCTCTGGGCAAAAACAATAAAATGTTATCATCCAGTCCCCCAATAGCATAAATGAGGCCTCCAAGAGAAGCCAGAGCAATCCCTCTCCTAATAAAATAACGCAATTAGTTATCAGACTACATAATCTTAAAACAAACTGACAATAAAACAATAAAATGAATTAAAACAGCAAGATCCACATTAACAACATTCTATATAACAAGGCTTAGCACAAAAAACCCTGCAATCAGGTAAATACTGCAACGAACAACACTTAATAACAAGATTTTGGTTGAAAGTTGCTTTGGGTTGCCTTTGGCAAGATAAAGCAACTAACCAATCTAATTAAAAATAATATATTAAAAAACTTGACAAAGTTTTACAGAGTTAAATAACTATTTTAAGACACAGAATAATAACAGAAATTAAAAATAGTTTATTTTTTTTGTTGTTTATTGTTTTTTATGATACCAAGCAAAGACTTTCCACTTTCACTGAAGAGTTCTATTTTAACTCTGCAAAGTCTTCAGTTCTGTTTTTAATTAAATTATATTCTTTCCATATTTCATTTCCCACCTTTTATTCAATCTCTTATTTCATTGCCTCTTATCACGACTACAAGAGTGGCACCTTAAACCAATGTAGTGAAGAACAGTCAAGAAAGTTTGACCTCCATATAACCTTAAAGTATTTTAATACACTTGTTGAAGCAGGCAAGGCAGAGCTATACGACATTTCTGTGCCGATGCCCTTTGAATGCCAATAAAAAAAACAGAGTCGCTTACCACAAGAGCCACAGAGCCAACACCTCCCCGGGGCGTATTCATAGGTGCCACAGAACTCCACTGATCAGATTCAATGTCGTATCTCTCCACATCGCTGAAGCAAGTGTTATCATCCAGTCCCCCAATAGCATAAATGGGGCCTCCAAGAGAAGCCAGAGCAATCCCTCTCCTAATAAAATAACGCAATTAGTTATCAGACTACATAATCTTAAAACAAACTGACAAAGTGAGTTACAAACTGGCAAAGTGAGTTACTAGGCATCAGTGGCTCTACCTCACTTTGGCAACTTTTCAAGAATACCAAAGTTAATAAAACCCCAAGGGCAAATAACAAATTGAAGCTTCTTTCCCAGCTGAAGTATACTTAATCAAAGAGACCTTGAAAATGTTTCTTCAAGATATTGCAAAAGAAAGAATTAAAGAACAGATTTTGGACTCTAGAACATTTGCAGGTTTGTAATTCTGTCAATTTTCTTTAATTTTTTTCAACCACACTAATCACCAGATAATAATATTCAACGACAACATAAAGATTTAACAGATCAGTGAACTGCAAGTTTTGACCATGACATAAATTCTTTCTTGCTGTATGCTGGCAAGGGCCAATTTTTTATAAACAAAAGCCTCATTCATGCTTTCAATCAACACATGAGGAATGAAGTGTGGCACATGCAGTACCACCAGCAGCAGCTTCCCTGCCCTTTTCAGCTCTAGTTCCGATTTCTCACTTCAAGTAGAAACGTCTGAATGAGTATTATGTGCATGTTGGACGGTCCAATCCACTCAATGTTGGAAGGTCAGGGGTGGAGATGGCATAGATGTCCTCATGCCTCCTCCACACTTTATTCCCCCATGTTTCTTTGAAGGCCTAAATTCAGTTTTAATTTCCCTTCTGATACCCCACGAACACAGTCCATTTTGTCATTATCAGTCTATTCCAAACTCTTAAAAGAATATAAAGAATCCTCTTATATTGGGGATTCCCAACAGCTTCACAAAACACTCTATTTACAATTACCTCAGCTAAAATAACAACTCTGATTCTTTTTCTAATTTATTTTGTTCCTTCCCCACTTCTGTTTTTCACTTTACATGCTCATCTCATATTTTTTATGTCCACTATTCACCTTCTGTGTTGCATCTTACTTTGTACTGCAGGCATTGGCCATGACTAGGTACTTGTTCTATGTACAGCCTATCTGATGTATATCTCAATAAATGCTAATGTGTTCCACATGAATCTACTTCTTTAACAACAACAACAACAACAACAACAACAACAAAATGGAATGTTCATTCCAAGTTTGTATACCTTTTGGTATTCATTGATGCTTTCATCATCCATTTATTTGTGAGAGGATCAAACATTTCCATACTGCCCAGATGTTCATTTCCATCATGTCCACCCACTGCATAAACTTTACCTGAAACATATAAAATTTTCTGGTCAGACAAACTAGGCTAACTCCTTAAATTATTACCTGTGGCCATCTAGTATGATATCAAGAAGACAAGATGTGAAACAGCTGCTTCCCAGGTCTTAGCTCACACATAATCACTGTGCTGCACTAGTGAAATTAGATTCACATTTTTTTGCCACTCTATTATATATATTCCATTACTGCTATAGCGTAATGTCTACAATAATTTTTTTCTGTAAAGAAATCTGCATCATATTATCTAAAGATCAGGGGAAAATAATAGTCTCAGGGACTTGATGATACTTTATAGTTCTAGGATACAAAGGCAGCCTTAAAAGGCAGCAGCTTTAAATCTTTTCTAATTTAAGATGCAATGCTATTTACTAGTACAGTAAATAGTTCCTAGTGTTGAATTCAGTGGTAGCTACTGTGGCTAGACTCAAGCTGTGAGTTATATTTTTAGTACTAGAGAGGACATTTCATTGGGCAGAAACCCAGAACACAAAACCAGTTGACTGCAAAACAGAAACAATTGCATCTTTTTATGCAAGAAGCCAACTACTATTTCTCAGCTATTTTGTATACAAAGGCTGTAATTTTGGTTGATGGAATGGCTGAGTCATTAACTTCAACAAAGTATAAAGCAATTTTAGAGCAGAGATTTCTTTTTACCAACCTCCCACAGAGATTACACCCACATGCCTCCTCCTACTGTTCATTTCAGGGCCAAAAAACCAGCTGTTCTTATTTATAGAGTAGCATTCAATGCTGCGAAATGGGTCGCCAGATCCACCACGACCACCAACACAGAAAAGGACACCTAACAGAAAACATACAACAAAAGTCACAAACACCTCATTTCTTAAGAACGTCAGTATTCATCACACAAAATTCACAGGGTGGCAAAGTACAGAATGCTGCACATAGCACACATTAAAAGTCCTGTTAAAACTAAATAGTAGAAACTGGTCTGTTTGGTTGGCTTAGTGTTATTTACTGTTTTCAATGTTCAACACTGACAATTTGTCATTCAACAGCAACAGTTCCACCCTGCTTCAACTTAGGATGAACTGGGTTGAGGCTTCAACACAGACTGAGAGGGAAGTCAGAGCTGGAATAGACAAGTCACCCAATCAAGGCTTGTGGAAAGATCCACAAAAGTTAATAACCCCTTAAAATGTTCAATAGCCTCCCTATTCACATGCATTTTTGACAGCCCAACATAAAGAGAACCAGCTTGCTTCAACTTGCAGGAGGCTATCTGCCTAAGGCAATTCTAACTCACCATGGACTTCCAGGCAAGTGGCTCCTTAACAAGCCTGATTTTAGTCCATTCACAATCCCAACATCCCTCTCCACTTTAAAGAGATACGTGTTTTTGGTCAATGCCACCACAGGCACGTTCAGCACACTGCTTCAAGATTCCTATAGAGCACATTGCTTCAGATGACTCAAGTAAACAACAAAAACCGGGCAAAGCTCAGCTCCTTTAACGTGGGAGTTTTTGTTATCAGTTGCAATGGAGGCAGATTGTATGTTATGTTGAAAACATACGTATCTAAAGAAGTGTGCATGCACACGAAAGCTCATACCAATAACAAACTTAGTTGGTCTCTAAGGTGCTACTGGAAGGATTTTTTTTTTTTATGTTGAAAACTGTTCTCCATCATTCAAATGCATTAATGTATCTAAGGATTGTACATTGGGACTGTTAGGCTGTAATACATACTGTTCAAGACAAGAAATTTAGCACCTCAGTTGAGACGGTATTCCATGGTTTAGCATTCAAATCAGAGGCTCATGCCAAGGCAATGCTATACCATTGTGAACCAACCTTTTGTGTAGATACAGATTCTCCCTCCCCCCACACAAAATGAATTTAAAAAGCTACACCCTAAGGCACTTAAATAAAATGACAAGGCTTACTAATGTTATGCTGTGTACAAATTCATTTATCTTGTCTTTAGCTATTCTACCGTGAGTACTTACACCTCTACAGAATAGACTTTTTGTGAGTTTCTAAAACACTGGTGCCTCAGAAACTAGTTACCTGCGGTGCGTTTCCTTGGTGTTGTCCGTACAGAATACTCAAAATCTGGCACGGTATGACTACTTAAGTGAAGGTGGTAGTTCCTTGCTTCATCCAGCAAGTCCCGACATTTTAGGTTCTGCTTGACAATTTCTTCTTTTGCCACTACTCCCATGAGAAAACAAATGGGTAACAGTGGTAGGCGCACCTAGGAGAATGGAGATTATTGGTGGTCAGCTGAACCAATAGTAACAGTTCTCAGCAATTACTAGGCAAGCCTCCAGAGACATCATGGAGAACATCATGATCCTCTATTTGCATCTGTATGGCCTACAACTGAACCCAGTATGTATGTCCTATGTCTTCACTAGAGAGAGATCCAGAAGATGAAAAAACAAGATTCCATTTAGTTGTAACAACAGTGACATTCCTCCATGTGTATAGCTGCTGTGAACCCTGACACATCCTACTTACACACACATTGTGATTACTTGCTGCCTGCACTTTTGAACTATGACTGACATGCATAAAATATTTAATCTCTCCACAAATCAACGCTGCTCATGCATTCAGCTGCAAGTCATCAAATAATGTGTGGTGACAAGATGCAGATGTGTGTGACCTGGCTCTGAGATGGAAAGTAACCGAATTTGCTTTTGAGAAACCCGTAGTTTTCAGGGATTTAACAGAAGTGACCTCAACTTCAATTTGTCACAAAGAATGCGTAAGAGAAAAATTGTCTTAAGTATCAATCTTTTTTGAGAACAAAAAAAATGATCTAGTTCCAATGTGGAGAACCAGTATAATCACCCCACAGATCACCCCACCTCTGCATATTATGAGACACCAATAGATTTAGTTACTCCATTCTCATCTGGTCCTTACCTGAGCAACTATTTCATCTAACCATGTAGCATGATGCTGTGGATTGGCCAGAAGCCACTTAATAGCAGCACCATAAACCTGCTTTTCACTTTCAATGCTCAGGTCACTGGAAGACAACAGTTTATGAAGGTGCTGAGGTGACACACTCACAAAATCTTCACATTCCACCACTTCAGCAAAATGTTCACATGCATAGCGATCGGCCATATCCATCAAGTCAATACGATTGTGGCTCTCCGCAAAGGATCTCACTGCCAGGCAATTTGAAGGATGGAAGTGTAGTTTCATGTATTCACAGCAAGCTTTGGCCACTACCTCTACCTGAAGAATGCAGGCCGCATATAAGAGAGGCTGGACATTGTCTACCGTCAGAGTCAGTCGAGATGAATAGACGAATTTGACCAAATCTTCTATGGCATCACCATCAAAGTCTTTGATCTCAATCAATGCCTGTTTAGCTTCTGCCATTTCAGAAAGGAACATGGCTCGGAAGTATGGAATAACACAAGCCAGGACAAGCTTGTGACAGGAGATTAACTTCGAACCCACCTGTGGAATAACATACATTTATATTAATAGAGTTAATTGTTTTACCTTAATACAAAGAAGCTGTGGTCTCGAATTCTAAAGATGTAGTAACGGATTTTAAAAATTATTAGCATTAATCAAATCCAGAAGTGCAAAGGGGTATTGACCTCAGAACTATCAAGAAAATTGAATAAACAGAAAATTGACTAACAACACTACTCAGATCAATGACAATTCTCTGTATAGATTAGTATACATGTATGGTACTGTTTAAGAGTCATAACATTTTATTGAGAAGCCTCCATCAAGTATTTATATAAATTTGAAAGATAAATTATATTGATCGCAGTATCACAACCTTATTTGTATTGATGAATATTTCAGCAATGAATATGCAGTTCATATTCAGTTGTAAAACTTACTTTTTGCTTTAACTGCAAGAGAAAATCATTTTTCATTAGTCCCACTTTCAACTAGCTTAATGATAAAGTTCCATCCCTGAATTATTTCTAGTAGTTTTATCCAGTCATCTCAATTAGCTGTTCTTTTAATAATCCACAGCCACAGCAATCTAATGCAGCCAAAACACTTTCTTGCCAAGAAATGATGAAAAGCAATTAGCTGTACATGACTTTAGACAATGTGCTGCCATGAAAAAAGGACAGACATCACTATGCCGGGTCAATTTTGCTGCATTACAAGGCTAGTGGATCTGTGCGTACAATTTGACCATGGAAAAGGCAATGCAACCACTTTGGTTATCTACCACTAGATTAGTAACAAATGACCAATGTTCATACACAAACCCTAAAGCAGGAGGAAGGGCAGGATATAAATGGAATAAAATAAATGTGCTATTTCAGCACAGAAATGGAAGAATGGGTTTGCACTGGATAGTCAACACGGCTGAAAATATTTGTGCCTTTTATGATTTTAAAGATTAACTATCAATTGATAATAAGGATATGAGTCTAATGAAAGTTTACATTTTATGATCCAGTAGTCTTTAGGTTCCTTATTAAAGAAGCTAGCTTCCCCCACCCAGCTGTTTTTCTTAAATTTGCAGGATGTGTTTTCAGGTACAAAAATCCTCTTGATAATATTTTCTATTAATCAACTTTTTCTCTTCTGCAGAGATTAGTTTCACTGTCAAAAAATGTCAATTTGAGTTGTATGAATTAATTAAGTTTGTAACCCACGGTACCACTGAACTAGGCAGTCCCTCAAAATTATTTACTTATTTATTTAAAATAATTTATAAACCACTTTGTTTAAAAATCTTTAAGCAACATACAAGAATACAAGATAAAAATGGTAAAACTGTATCATAAAAAGAGATACAACATAAAAAGCACTAAAACAGGAATGTGCTACAGGAAATGGGCTCCAAGTCATCCTTTTGCCTAGGAGAAACTTTCTAATCATCCATGGTAACCAGGCAATATATAGCTGTGACCCTGATTACAAGAGAACTATGGGATGAACCCTTGGAAGAGTTGCCTCCATGCCACTGTTGCAATTGCCTGTAGGGCACCTAAGAGGACCTTTTTTATTATTATTATTATTAAGGATTTTCTTGTTTTACAGAAGTGTAGTGCCTCGTATTTTTTTTTCACCATGTAACATTTTTACAAATCCGTTTCATTTGTTGAGGCATTAGGGGGAGAAGAAAAAAAAAAAAAGAAAAAAGAAAAGGGGGGTGGAGAGAGATAAGATGGATGGGGGTGGGGTCGGGTGGCGGTGTTTCTATTATGTTTAATGTATGTAGAGTTTGGTGTCAGCGTTGCTTGTGTTGTTCACTTGTGTTCCTTTGGTGGTGAGAGAAAAGAAAGAAAAGGACAAAATATGTAGTAAACCTAGGCTGCCTGAAACCCATTAACTAAGCAGCTGGGCTCTCAGGGCATTTTTGTGGATACAGTCATACCTCGGGATAAATACGCTTCAGGATAAGTATTTTCGAGTTGTGCTCTGCGGCGACCCGGAAGTAACGGAGCGTGTTACTTCCGGGTTTCGCCGCTCACGCATGCACAGACGGTCAAAATGACATCCCGTGCATTAGCGGAAGCGGCAAAACGCGACCTGCGCACGCGCAGTCGCATCTTAAGTTTTGTTCAAGATGCGAACGGGGCTCTGGAACGGATCCCGTTTGCATCCCAAGGTACCACTGTACTAGCAGTTGTAAACTGTTATATACTTTCTCAAAGCACTGCAGAAGTAGTATTCTTCTCCTTCCACAGACAAGCAAGAGCCTTGGTGCACTGCCACAGAAATGCAAAACAGTGCTAATGTACTCCCATTCCAATACACCCATACCCACACACTCTGTTATAGGAGAAGGAAGAGGGGAGAGTAGCAACTTAGTCCACCTCAAAATTGTTATCCCCAATATTAGGGCTTTTCCCACTAGAAGAGAATGGCAATTACTACTTACATGGGAGAAAGTGAAGAGGTGCGCTTAGAAACCTGGAAACACCACTGGGATTGGCTAACCCACAGCCTACCCTTGGTGTTCAGCAACCTTCACTGAGCATCCTCTTATCTGATTGGACCCATCCTCGTAAGGAAGAGAATGTTAAGACCAGGCTTGCATATATGACATTATCTAAACAAGATGGCAGCCATGTCACATAAGTTGAGTGGGTTTATATAGGTACTGTGGCCTCTTACAATAATAGAAAAAAAAACTTTTAAATTTGAATTCAAGTCCATAAATTTAGCACAATCACACTCTCCCTACAAGCACCAAATAGTCTGCTGACTTGCAGCATTACTAGGAAGAGTTTTGGTTAAAGGGAAGGCAACACTGCATGGCACTAACTTCCAAATGTTGTCAACATAAATGATGCAAAGCTAATATATTTTCTAGTGAATTAATAAACGCACAAACCATTCTACACTCAAAACACATACACACAAAGGAGGAAATATGGAATCAGCACCTTCAGCGTAACATCACAAAGCTCCCCAGCTTCATAGAATCGGAGGAGAGAGCTGTGAAAATCCTTCCAAGCTTCATTTGCTTCAAATACAAATGTTTCTTCTTCACCATCACTGTTCAAAGGTGACCTTTCCTGTGGCTGCTGCCTTCTGCCTTTTACCACATGATGCTTTGCTTGCTCTGGGACCATAGAATCAGAAGCCATTAGCTGTTTTGTCTCCTTCCAGGTTTGTTCTCAGTCTCCATGAAAAAAAGCCACACACATCCTGCCAAGCAAATCAGGAAGAACATCCAGTCTTGAGTAGAACTGCCATTTTCTCACTACTAGAACAAAATGAAAATAGATTAGGCGTTTTCCTCCGTCAAGCCCTTGAAACACCATAGGTTGAAGTTCGCTGCCAACTATTATTCTGTCTTTTACAAAGACCAAGGCAATAAAATCAAGAAGGCAACTTCTAAGTCACTATCAGGATGGGAACATAGGCTTGGATCTCAAGTTGCTCATCCATTCATGTGTGAGAGTGAATGATTTCTACCAACTTTCCCCCTACATCCATAACCTTCCATGCCTTCCCAAACTCCCCAACCTGCAAGAGAGGATTTTCATGGGGCTGCAGAAAGAAAATAAAATGGTGGAAGTGGCAGTCTATGAACATGGACTCTATTGACTCATGGAAGGAAAGTTAGGATCAAAGCCACTGCTAGTACATTTCTACAGTGAGTTAGAACCAAGCACCTGTGAGCAACAGGAGGAAAACAAGCCTAAATCTGCACAATGCTGTAATAGGAAAGGTTGACCGATTTAGTTTCACTTGTATTGAGTTCTAGTATTGTCGGAGCCAGCCGTTATACAGTGCAAAAGATACAAATCTTCTGGAACAATATGGTCTGTAGCATAAAGGTTGGGTGGGCTGCAGCAGGAAGGAGAAACAGTGAAGTTGGAACACCCTCCAACTGCCTTTCTATTCATACAGGGAACCTTTGAGTCAAAGCCAAAGTAACAAACTACAGTTCTAAATATCACAAAATCCTTCTTGGCATAGTTAAGGCCGAAGGAAGTTCTCTCAAAGTATATATAATCTGTTGGGTTTTTTATTGTTCAAATTGCTTAGCATCTAAGGAAGATTAAAGATACCTTCCTGTACACAATTGAACTTTAACACTTGCAGATTAAAGTTTTATTATTCACTCATAGCCTCTTAAATCAGGCCATTATTATTTAAGTTGCACCATTTACACCTGAGATATATAGTACCCACCCACTATAATCCCTGGGACTTCACGGTAAAGGTAGGCAAGAACTCCAAACAGTAATTATTATTAAACTAGTATTATTATTGTTGTTGTTGTTATTATTCCCACTTACAGTATAGATGGGAAACTGAAATGAAACATGATTTGGCCATGACAGAGATTAAGCTTGAACTCTGTAGTTTAAGTAAAACTCTTCCATTAAATGGTCCTCCTTGGCTTCAAGGTTCAAGTTGGTTAAAGTTCATATGGATCCATGCTATAAGACAGTAATTTCCTGTGTTGTAGGGCATCCTGAACTTCTATAACAAGAAATCTGTAATGTAAATGCCCTTGGTAGTTTGCATCCTCCTACTGATCTTCCCAGCAATGGGTAGCAGCCAGGATGTATTATAGTATGTAATGATCAATTCATTCAAGACATGGTCAAACTTAAATGGCATGGCAAGTGCTCCATATAAATCAAGTATGCACCTCAGAGGAAAGACCAGAGTCATCTACAACATGGAAGAGTTTTGCAGCAGGAGTTCTTCAGCACAAGTTGTTGAGGAAAGGATTCCCTGAAGGTGAAGTTTAAACACCACTGCTCTAAGTAGATAATGACTAAATTACAGAGACAACCAGATACACACTTCCTTTGTCAGTCAGATTTTCAGACTGTATCCATCCAAGAATTCTTAAACAACTCAAATGTGAAATTATTGATCTTCTAACAAAAAGATATAGCTTGTCCTCAAGATAAGCCTCTTTATCAAAGATCTAGAAAATGGCCAAACAGGGGGGGGCCACCAGATGGCGCATTGGAAGATGGCCGACAATAACATCTCTCCGACCCACACGAGGTAATAAAGCGGCTGCTATGGGAAGTATGCAGTCTTCCTACCCCCCCCCCAAGGAGATGGGGAGGACAGCCTTGCCAGCGACGTCCATAATGCACCCCCGGATTCGAAAGAAGGGGGTGCAGGACATTTGGCATCAGCCCTCGGTGGGTTCGGCGCTTCCTGACGCTGTCTCCAATCAGCGCCCTGGTTCGCATCAGCTCGAAAATATAATTGGAAATATATAATTGGAATGAAGCTGAAGCACTTACATCAAGCAAAGTTCGAGAGATAAGGCTGCTGATTAATGCATCTCTGTGTTTGGAGCGACGGGAGGAGACAAATAAATCAAGCGATGAACCACCATTACGAGACTGGTATGTGCGGAGCGAAAAAAAAGGGGGGGGGTGGAGGAAAAAACTTTTATTTTCTTTGCCTCATGTGAGTATTTATAAACCTCCACCCCAGAGAGACGAATCGTCGCCTTTTACTAATCGCAAGCAAGAATTTAAGAGCTGTGTGGAGTGAATTATTGATTGAAGAGAGGACTGGTAAATATGGAGTGCGGAGGAAAAATTCTATGACACAGTTTTTAATGGCGTCTTGCTAAGACAGACTTGTCGAAGAAAGACGAGGGGAGGAGGACCAGGGTCATTGGAATGTAAATGATGGATTGAATGTGATAACCTGGCAGAGCCCCTTTGTGATATACGTGGCAAGCTTGGGAAAATTAATAGGACGGACCGAGGATAAATTTTTGAAGAAGGGGAGGAATGGCGGCTGTCCTTATGAGATATGACTTTTGGAGTGTGCAAAACCCACGCAGATGTTGTTTGTTCCTAACCTGCTTGCGAAGACTATCAGAGATTGCAAAGAAAGGAATACATGATAACAACAAGAAGATGAAGAAGTAATAAAGAGACTATCTGGATAGAACCGTTTGATAAAAGCAGTAACAGAAGTGATGTTTTGATTCTTGTTCGGAGCTTGATGTAAGGGTACCCCCAACAAAATTTAAAAATATGGCTGTATAATTTGGAAGTAATATGATTTGGAAATAATGGATTGGCCTGTTAATAAAAATTATGTTTTTTTAAAAAAAGAAAATGGCCAAACAGTGCCAAATTTTCTAAATGGGATCCGGGCGGACAGCATTACTAAGTATAAAATAATCAAGCATACAGAACAGGTTCTGCTGAAAAAGAATCAGAGTGACTTATATAAAGGTGAGTCCTGCCCAGTAGCGGAGGAAGCCTCTCCAGCACCAGGGGCGGGACGCCGAGGGGCGGGGCAAACTGCCCATAGGGTGGGGTGGGCCGCCCGACGGCGCCCTTGGCCACCCTACAGCTGGAGGCGGGGAGGCAGCAGGCCATTTTGTCACCCCCCCGGGGGGGCACCCAGGGCGGACAGCCCTCACTTCGTACACCCCTGGTCCTGTCTCACCAACCTTTTAAAAGCTTTTGACACAGTCCCCCACCAAGATTCATGAGCAAAGACAGCAGTAATGAGGTCTTCTTATGGACTGGTAACTGGTTAAAGAACAGGAAATAGAGGGAAAGGAAGGGAAGGAACAGTTCTTGCAATGAAGGGATGCAAGTTGTAAGCTCCCCATAAGGCTCAGTAGTGGGGTCAGTGCTTTTAACTTGTTCATAACTGATCTGGAATAAAATGCAGCATTTCTAGCGACCCCAACCCCTGAGGTCAAGGAGAATAGCCATACTTATTACACACATGTGTCTGCATGTCTGCATGTGTGTGCATAATCAGTTGCATGAGTGGAGAGCACGTGTAGCATGCATGGTGTAGCTAGCTTTGAAAAAATACCTGTGATATGGTTGCAATGCAGCCTCAGGAACTACTTTGGGTTTTCCTGGCTGATCAATTTAAAATCAAAACTGTTTACTCAATTAAACAGTTGGGCTGATCTCATGCCTCAGAACCTATAAATAAGATAAAATTACCCACTTTCCCATAATTTATTTCTTTTTGAAATATTTTATTTTTACTTACATATACAAAGAGCAACAATCAACATTCAACAATCCCCTCTCTGCAGAAGCACCAAATGCCTACTTAACTGTATTACACTTTTAATTCATTTTAGGTATCATTTGAAAAGATACCATTTTATATTTTTGATGGGTGGCCTAAACATACTTTATTTCCCTTCAAGCAAACAGTGCAATACATCAAAACCTCTAACATGAACACTTTTTGTGTAGCACCTCACCCACCCTGACATACAAACCAGCAGATTACCTGAAATGAAGTTTCAAAGCCACCAACGTCCTATAACCTAGATACTCTCTGTTCTGAAAGAAGCAGAACACTTAGGGCAACTTTTCAGTGCCAACATGCCACTTCTCATGCAATCTGATCTCTCAACATTATACTAATGACCTTCGACCTCTTGAAATTTCTCCAGTATTCTGCAGGACCAAACCGAAACAATGGAGAACTTCAAGCCCCCATTCAACAATGCTGCAATGTTCCATTCACTTCATAAACTGAATGCAAGTCCTTCTCTTTGCTGTCTAAAAATGGGCATTTTTTCCATTGCTAAACAAGGAAATGAATTACCAGATACCAACTGTCTGTAGTCTCTTAGTCTGACAGTACTGAATACAAACAGTGGCATTTGTTTACCAAGTTCACGGGTATTGTGAGAAAGTTCACATGGATGGCAACTGGGGGTAAATTGACATATACCCAGCGTTAAGAAATTGTCTGTTATAACAAACATGGCATAAACATAGCCTTTACTCATTTCAATGGCAAAAGTTTGTGTGACAAATCGTGCCATTCTACAGCCACATGTTTTTTAAAGGACGCTTTATCAATATCAATACTTTTATCTGAGGAACTTTCAGAAAAGTTATTATGTTTAGTAGATGCTTATATTGCTCCAACAACATACAGTACATGGAGCTTCACAGAGTGAAACTTACAGCTGACACAAAAAGCTTAGAATAAAAAATTACAATGGTGAGCCCTGCCAACATTCACGGTACGTGTGATGACTATATGCACAGCCTTAAAAAGGAAACAATGTTATAGACACAGCCTGTCTTTAACATATTTGCTTCATCCCCAATTTATTACATACATGGCCAACTTCGGAGAGAGAGGACTGTAGCATGACAGAATAACAGGAGGGTCCACAGGCCCAGTTACAGCATTAAATCTTATCTGCTGTTTTCCTTGTCTCTCCTGCTCTGCACTACTGCTGTTTGGTTCTTAGTTCTGCAGACCAAATACTACAGCAAGGCCACGATACATCAGTGCATGGGAGAGGGAAAGAGACTGGATACACATTTACTGAAGCATAGACAATGTGCAATTGAATGACACACTTTCACACTGTGGACTTCAGGTGCACTTCCCAAAGAGGCTGTATATTATTCAATATATTTATGTCAGGCTTTTACAAGAAGGCTGCACAAGGCAGCTTGCAATTAAAACATTAATTGACAAGACAAATCACCCCCCCAAAAAAAGCTTGGCAGTTCCACTTAAAGGCCATAAGCAGGGGGAGGCCAAGTTGAGTTCTCACAGGAGGAAATTCCACAAGTGAAAAATCTGTGTTCTTGCTTTCCACCAACAGGATCAACCTTATCACGCCTCCAAGGCCAATCTTAAAAGATCTGACCAGTTGAGTCTGGGCAGTCTTTCAAATAAACTGTTCCCAAACCATTCAGGGTTTTAAGAGTTAGTATCAGCACTTTAAAATGAGCATGGAAACAAATGCATAACCTGATGCAAATTGGTGCAATATGATCAAAATGGGACTGAAGTAGTGTACACCACACTCAGTTTTCAGTGCTGTATGGAAAACAGAAGTACATTCTCTAAATGAGGAACTAAATGAAGATTTGCTTTCAACATGGAAAACTACATAAAAATATTTCATGGTTATAGTCATAGCCCAGAGCATTGTGATTAATGGCACTGATGTTATGCACCTGGAAATCGGGAAGTCTTGCTTAGGTATGAAAATTGATGCTTAAACTGTAGTATTCACTGCATTTACATTCATCATAAGGGCATTAGACTCAATCTCAGGGCTGGGGTTTTGAGTCCCACATTGGCCAAGATTTCTGCACTGCAGGGGGTTGCACTAAATGACCCTCCAACTCTACAACTCTATTATTCTATTCAAGTGAAATGTAATGTAATGGAAGCAGCAATGACACAAGACAAAAAGCAACTGGGATTATAATAACAACAATATGCAAGAGCTTAAATGCCACCAGCTCAACTCTTTCTACATTGTATCCAAAAATATAGAGAGAGCCCATCTATGGAATGTGCGATGTTTCTGACCCAAATACCCACTGTATTTTACAGAATTCACTAACCAGGAAGCACATAATCAATCTGTAAAGGAAACAAACCTGAGTAGCACCAGGAAACATTAGCTGAAAGAAAATTTGTAAAATGTTCAAATTATATGTGTCTACAGTGCTGTGTAATTTTCCCTCCTCTTTATACATTTCCTCCATTTATCTTTCATTCTCTAAAATTGAGACTCGTAAATGAGCACTTCACATTTAAACCTAGTTCTTGATTTTTTTCATTTCCTTCCCCATCACATATCTGCTCTGCCCTTCACCAGTTTCACGCATTTCTACATTATTCCTTCTGCTCTATTTCACTCGGACGGCAAGGGAAAAGAGAACCAGCTTTTATCCTAACAACCAAGGAACACCCCCTCCGCTCAGCAAAAGCAGAATCAATTGCATTCCGCCAACTCCATCATCATCATCATCACCAACAGCAGCAACATCACCTCCCGCACCCAAGGAAAACCACGTGCAAAAAACAACACCCCCCCCAGGTTTAGCACCCTGACGACCCCTTCCTTCCCAAGGAGCGGTGCCCCTGCCTTAAAAACACCCCTCCCTCCTCCCCATCTATAACTTGGACCAGCCCCAAGAACTGCTTTACCCTACCAGGACTAAAACCAGAAACGGATAAATGAATGGTTGCGAGTTGCTGTTAGTTGTTTTTTTAAACGGGGCACTTCTTCTGAGCATGCACAGAGTGCTACTTATGAGCAACCCTCAAACGTACAGGACTGAGGGAGCACGCCTTGCTGTAGCCCACCTTCCACAGCCCCCTTCTGCCTCTCTCCTTCCTCGGCTCCAGCCTCCTTACCACGCCAATTATCTACCTCCCTCCTTGGTGCAGCCAGGGCAGTTGCACCTCAGCAGCCGTTACCTCCGGCGCGCGTGCTCCCTACCTTCCGCGCGCGCAGCCCAAAACATACACAAATACACACACAAACACTCAGGCATATATGCACGGAGGACGCGGCCAACAGCGCATGCGCCCAGCCCGGATCCGATGGAAACGTATCTGGAGGGAGGGAGGGGGGAGGCGTGTCAAGGAAGCGCAGCGAGCCGGGTGAGAGGAGGAGGAGCGAGGAGATGGGGACCGCGCGCATGCGCTGCAGGGCTCTGGGCTCGAGCCCGAACCTGTGGGCTGCGCGCGCACGCTCTCCTCATGGCCGTTAACGGCTGTTCAAATACCAAACACGGCCCACCCCCCGGCCTCCTGGAGAGAGAGAAGCCCGCCGCCCGCCTGAGGGGAGGGGGGGGAAATACTGTTTTTCTGCGCATGCGTCGAGTATGTACGCCTCACTAGCTCGAAACGCAGCGAGGTTGTCCGTCTTTGTATGTCGCTTCTTCTGCTGCGTTTTAAGTCAGTCCACTGAATTCAGTGGGATTTACAGCTTTAAATCTTTCACGCTTAGTCGGGTGGATGGGATACACGCCCCGCCCCCCGCCCCATGTCAGACGTTTGAAACGTTTCCTCTGTTGCCACACATTTTGATTTAAATCGAGAGTGAATCGGCTTGGGCAAAGGGAAAACACATCAAAACTCAAGTGTTTCATAATAAAATAAGAGATTGTTGCATTTATATCCCACCTTTTCTCCTCCCAAGGAGTTCAAAGTGGTGCATGTTGTATACTCACCATCCTCACAAACAACCCTGTGAGGTAGGCTAGGCTGGGAGGCAGCAACTGGCCCATGTGATGGTGAGCTTTCATGGCCGAGTGGGGGATTTGAACCCTGGTCTCCTCCAGGTCCCAGTCCAACACTTGAACCACTACAACCACACATAGGGATTGTGCCACTTAATTTGACCTGTCCAATAACTTGTATAACTAAGAACTAGTGTCTGCATTTGCTTTTTTTCCTCCTCCCTCTCACTGACTTTCCTTTTCGTGTTGTGTCTTTTTGATGGTAAACGTGATAGCAGGGATTGTCGTGTTACTATAATTGCAACCTGCTCTTGAGAGCCTTTCTTCAGCTCCAAATAATAGCCTGCTCCAAATAATAGCATTTAATTGTCATGAGTGCTGGTACTTTATATTCATATTTTCAGTATTGGGGGCTGTGGTGATGAGGGATTAGGCTTGTATGACCACATAGGCGCAGATATCTACTTTGCCTACCCCTATCCCTCTCTTATGGTGCTGAGTTCCAGATTTTAGAATTCCTACCTTAATGGGATTACGAGTTTTTGAAAAGCACCCTTTTACCAAAGCACCACATCCCCAGTTCCCAAGGCAGCTCTGCGGGCCTTCTAATTAGCACACTAAAAATAGGAGGGATGGTCTGGTTTATCCAGTTTCTTATGCCTGTGTCTGCAGACAACTTGGAATCTTTGTTGAGCTATTTGGACCAAACTGGTGAAGTGGGTGTGTGGAAATATGATCCTCTTCAGTCACATACACTCTTGTCAATCTGTGCAGACACCAGTGGCCTAGGGTGAAAAGCAGGCACTCTCAGCATTGAGCAGATGCAAGGCAGATGCATGTTGTAAGATGCTTTTGTCAGGTTGTATCTCCATTCAAGTATCACCTAAATCACCATAGCTGTGATACGATATTATAGGTAGCTTCTACAGCTTCTTGAGACAGGCTTATACAGCCATATAACTAGGCCACCAGGGGTTTGGTAACCTATTGTTTTTGCTAGTTTCTTGGGTCACCACGCATCAGAACCGAAAGAGTCCTGCTCATACCAGCCAGGTCAGCATCCTCTTTACCACAGTGACCAGCATCTTTTTCAACCCATGGACCACTTTCCATTCCTGAGCAACCTTCCAATGGCCACATGGTAGATGGTGTCATAAGCAAAAGTGAGAAGAGCAACAAATGCATATTTTACTTGCACACACATTTCTGTCCTCCATCCAGACAAATGAGAGGCTTTATCTCAAGGACACATTCCAGCCAGGGGCATACTTAGGGGTTCGGCAGGTTGGTGTCCTCTAAGGCTGCAGGCTCAGAAGGACGCAAAAATCGCACCACTCTGCCTCAAAGTGGCCAGAAGCCTGCCCGACAGTATTGCAGCAACCTTACAGGGCCCTCTCCCTAGTCAGCCAGCAGTCCTGTTAGAAATATGAGCAAGGCTCAGAGGGAAGAAAGAGCCTAGGTATGCTTCTGGTCACTGGTGGCACACAAAAGGTGAAAGGCAATGGAAAGCAAACTTTTTAGAGTTTCTGCACCATGGTCTCTCCTGGCTTTGGAGGTCCAGATACATCTCCTTGCCAAGGGTGCAAGGGAGCCTAGGTATACCTTTGATTCCAGCCAGGCAAAAAATACTAAAGCACTTGGGGTGTGAAGGAGGTCCAGTGAGGGGTGATGCCTGGGAAAAGTTCCAAAGGATAAAGATTTGAGCCTTCCCACTCCTGAAATTCCCCACATGAGCTAGAATGTTTCCAGAAAGCTCACAACCAGAGCATCAAGGCAATAGCTCTTCCCTGCTGTTTCCCCCACAACTGGTTAAAAGTAGTAACCCTTTCCTTTTTGTTCTTCAAGGTGCAGTTACTTGTTGGCCCTGTGCCCAATGCCTAATTCAGCTATTGACTATTGACGGGGTGGAGTCAACAGTTGCTAGCAAGCTTTTTGCACAACAAGCGCCTGATCTGGAACTGTCTATCTGAACAGCAGAATTTGGAATTGCCCCACCAGTTCCCTTGTAGACCTACAAACACTTCACTTAGTGCCAGTGTTAGAACTAGGAGCCTGCTCTTGCCTTACATAAAAGTAGAGGTGTCTGTGCCCTCCTTTATATATAGTCACTCTAGCAGGAAGTGAAAGACTTTTTCAAAGCACAGGCAGAAACGGTGTGAAAAGGGAAATGGAGACTCTTTCTTTATGAACAATGTAAGCAATCTGAGCAATGTCTACTGTACAGGAAAAGCAGGAATTTGCACCTAGTTAACAATAGGCAAGCTGAGCCTATTTTTGCTCTGACATTTCCAGCTGACTCTGCCATGCACAAGTGCTATATGTGACTCCTCTCAAACAGTAGGCACAGCTGACATGAATGACCCTGGTTTCAGTGTCCTATACCTTCTCAGTTGCTGAAGAATGCTGGGAGGTCACAGGAAGTAACAGTGGCCCATGGACAAGGCTAATCCTTACATGCCGCTTCCCATTCCTGTTCAGGAATCATGAAAGGAATGTTACCGCTCTTATTGTTGGTCCATTAGCTCAGCAAATATTTATTTGTATGGTAGGTAGCATTTGGGGGATGCTGACTCTTGTCACAAAATGTTAGCCAGTTCTGTCTGAGCACCTATGGGTAAAATTTATTTAGATATACAAGTGAGACCTGCAAGAAAGAAGAAAAAAGGTTGTCGTGTGGAGTGCTGCTGTTCAAAGTGTCCAGCCAGTCATGCCCTCTTCAGGATACTCCATTCCATTCTATCACACACACACACACACACACACACACACACACACACACATACTTTCTGCTTAGGGATCCCCCCCCCCGGTACTTCTGAAAACTTGCCTATTAAACATTAGGCAGGCACCAAAGCTATATATTGTTTTAGATGCCTGCTAAAGACTTCTGTTTATTCCAGCAAGCCCACCCAGACATGTAATATAGTTATGTATACATACTTGTTTTTAAAATTTTGCTGATTTGCTCTGTGTATTATTGATAGTTATTTTGTATATAACACAGGAAGCCATTATGAAGCAGTGGATCAACTGTTGTATCAAATGTTACCAATATGACTTTGTCATGTCAGTCCCAAGATTATCAATAATATAGTCCATTCATTATCCAAACTATCACCTAGCTGTCACAGAAACCAATATAAACATACTTTGATTTCCATTACTGAAGTTAGATCACACCTGAAATCTAAAAAAAGTTGTTTAGTGATGACTGTTAGGAGCTGCTGATATCAGTTTGAACTCGTTTTTGTTCCAAACTCAGGCTTTTGTTAGTTATTTGAAAGGACTGCTTGATACTGTAAGAAAGAAGCATTTGTGCGAAGTGTGATTTTTAGCCAGGAAAGCTTCACACATGCACTCAGAAGCTTATTTATTTTTTGTCTGTGTGATACACTTGTAAGAGCGGTATGACGCATGTGCAATTGGATTAATCATGCATATTTTTAGAATACCTTCCCATCTAGAGATTGGTCTGAGGGTACGTGATGTTGTTACATTGCATAAGCTGTCTGATGCCAAAAGATCACAGTTTTCTTAGCCCAAATATCTTGGTTTTCTTTTTGAAAGTCAAGCTTTGGTAACTCTGTCTATGTCCTTTTAGCTTAGTCTAGTGGAACTACATTAATTTACATAACTGAGGGAAGCATGCAGTGGTTCCGTTCACGCAGCACCACGAGAATGGTTTGCTGCAAATCTGCAAAGCACTCCTGTTTGCTTGCTGCCAGCTAGTGATCAAGAGCAATGTGAGTGAGTTTCTCCGCTTTAGAAATATATATATAAATTTTTTTCATTGCCCAGTAACACCTTAGAGACCAACTAAGTTTGTTCTTGGTATGAGCTTTTGTGTGCATGCACACTTTTTCAGACCTACCTGAATCTTCTTCAGCTACCTACCTGAATCTGTCTCCACTTTAATCCAGGATGTGTGGAATGATGAGCTGCTTCCTTTTGTGTGTGTTAGCCTTGCTTTCGTGCTTGCTTGCTCTCCCATTGTGTGGTGCGTTGCATTTAGGTCAGTAAACTGACAGGGCATCTTTGGCTACGGGTGTCCTTGTGGAGCTGGTGGTACATTCTCCTAACTGGAAATAAAGTAAGCAAGTGCACGCACAGTTGGACAACACTGGCTTTTCTTCCCATGTGCTTGGGCGCATGTGACAGAAAACCTTTCCTTGGTAGGAAAATGACATAGTGGTGGGGCACCATTCTATAGTTCACCTCAGGTCACAAAATGTATTGGGCTGACTCGGGGTTAATCCCATTCCCTAGGAAGGAGGAGCAAAAGTGGAGCAATCTGAGCACAGGTTGAAACGTTACCTTTCTATTGAGGCTTTTGCTGGTTATTGATGCCAACCATTCATTGTAAAAACAATTCTGACTATCAATAGTGCTTGTTTAATTTATAATATTTTAATGCATTCTGTTGTATTAAGGTTATGAAAAGTATGAGATGTTTGCCTAAGAGACACTATATAAATACTTTTTATAAATAAATACGCTATATAAATACTTTTTATAAATATTTTTAAATGAATAAATAGGAAGGCCCTCCAGACGTTGTTTGATGCCAGCTCACACCAGCCTCAGCCAACAACAGGTGTGATCAGAATGGTGGTGCAACAATATCTAGAGAGAAACAGACTCCCCATCCTTGAGCTACAGGGACATTTGTCAGGGCAAACAAGACACAATTTTATGGAACAAAGTCTATGACGTATCAAGATGGATCAAAGTCAAACAAATAACAGGACCATGAAAAGGTCAGAAGCAAATCTGAAAGACCGGGAGGAGGAATTACCATCAATGTCAATAAAGGGCAGCTTGTGGAGAAACAGGAAATCGTTCAGAAATGAGAGGACCAATACTCAGCATTTTGTAATCTTTAACCTGGGAGGGGAAATCTGTGGCCCTCCAAATGTTGCTGAAACTAAACTCCCATAGTCTTTGATCACTTACCATGTTGGCTGGGGTTGATGGGAGAAACACACATTCCTCATTCCTCCTTTGCACACATGTTTCCTAATGCTCCCCTTCAGTTTAAGGCTTAGGATGAGGTTCAATTTAGTTGAAATAGGAAGGAGAGAGGAAAGACTTGTCTGCTGGTTATACTACGGAGCACTTAATCACCTCTCAGCCCACACCCCTTGGAGATGAAAAAGTGCATTCAGATTTGGCCCACTTAGCACCACAGTGAAAATGCTGACAGGCAGAATGAAGGACTGGCATATTTTTCTCCCTTCCCTGAAGCCCAGCCTTCAAAACAAACAAAGGCATACTTTGCCCAGCTTGGTTGCTATAGTGAATCCATGGAAACAGCTGCACCCCTTAGATGCAGGCAGAAACTGAAAGCTGCCGCTGTAGCATGCCATCAGAAACCTACTGCTGCCTGCCTGACACTCTGACCACATGCATCTTTTGTTGTTGTTTAGTCGTTTAGTCATGTCTGACTCTTCATGACCCCATGGACCAGAGCATGCCAGGCACTCCTGTCTTCCACTGCCTCCCGCAGTTTGGTCAAACACATGCTAGTAGCTTCGAGAACATTGTCCAAACATCTCGTCCTCTGTCATCCCCTTCTCCTTGTGCCCTCCATCTTTCCCAACATCAGGGTCTTTTCCAGGGAGTCTTCTCTTCTCATGAGGTGGCCAAAGTATTGGAGCCTCAGCTTCAGGATCTGTCCTTCCAGAGGGCACTCAGGACTGATTTCCTTAAGAATGGAGAGGTTTGATCTTCTTGCAGTCCATGGGACTCTCAAGAGTCTCCTCCAGCACCATAATTCAAAAGCATTAATTCTGCGGCGATCAGCCTTCTATATGGTCCAGCTCTCACTTCCATACATCACTACTGGGAAAACCATAGCTTTAACTATACGGACCTTTGTTGGCAAGGTGATGTCTCTGCTTTTTAAGATGCTGTCTAGGTTTGTCATCACTTTTCTCCCAAGAAGGAGGCATCTTTTAATTTTGTGACTACTGTCACCATCTGCAGTGATCATGGACATGCATCTTTTGTTGTTGTTGTTTAGTCATTTAGTCGTGTCTGACTCTTCGTGACCCCATGGACCAGAGCACGCCAGGCACTCCTGTCTTCTACTGCCTCCCGCATGCATCTTTACTCTAAAGCAAATCTTGCTGAACTCAGTGGTGCTTGCTCCCAGGTAAATGTCCATCAGAATGCATCTGTAGTGGGTGGCACATTTACACAGATGGACTGAGAGCTGCTCCTGGTCTTGTGTTCATATGGATTTCAGGCCACTGACGGGAAAGATAAGCTTGGGTGCATGTTAGCTGCATCATTTCAACAACCAATAAACCCTGATTTTGTTTACTCACCTGCTGTGGCCATTAGCTGATCCTAAAAGCAAACAAGGTCTTAACACTTCTGCTTTTGTTTTGTTCTCACTCTGCATTTCCCAGGCTTTCCATGTGGAATGCAGTTTTAATGACACTGCAAAATGTCAACCAGCTGGGAGTGTTCTGCCCTTGGTCTTTACTACTCATTTGGTGTCTTGTTACGTAAATATTACACAAACCCCTTGACAACTAGCAATCTTCAGCAAAGGACGGGCTGGGTTAGTTCGACTCAAGATGCAAAAGGCAGCTGTCACACAACCCCAATCATTTAAGCTCCCTGGTCAATTTCAAAACCTCCCTTGTTTGTAGAAGGCTGTCATTTTTCAACGCAGATTGTAAGTAAAGAGTGCCATCTACTGGCTCTGTCTAACATTTCCCAGAAATCAGGAATAAGTATATACACCTGCAGGCAAAGCTTCTTCTTCCAGATTGTCATGTGAACTTTGGCCCTAAGATATGTTAAAAGGCAATAATGATGTGCATTGATTTTTTAACAAGTGTTGTATATTTCCCATCCTTGGAGAGATAAATTGCTTTTCTGAAAAAAACACCCTGGTTTGTATGAACAACGTTTTGTTCCAACAGTCTGTGAAGCAATCTGAGCTCATGGGCAAGCCTGTCAGGGTTTTCTTAATTTTTCAGTTTTTTTAATTCTAAATTCAGTTCTCCACATTTCTGTATCAATTTGCATTTTAAAAAAATGGCCTAATGAAAATTATCCGTATTTTTGTGCAAATTATACACATTTTGTGTGCAGTTTTGCCTAATATACACATTTTTGTAAAGCAATGTTATGCCATTTTCACTCATATATGTATTTATATGCACTGTTTACACTAGTATATGCATTTTTGTACACATTCCTTGGCTAGAGAGTTCAGGTAAGTGTGCATTTTGAAGGATGACTGCGTTTCAGTTTGTATATTGTTTCTTAAAGTGTGGGTCAGGTAGGTTCAACTTTAAATGTTAACTGAATTGAATCTCTCCCCCACCTCAGTATCTGAGCCCAATAGTTAAATTGCCTATTAAATGTCTCTTATGAGAAATAAAAGCCCTTGAGCTTTTCTGAACACTCTTCTGCTTTCCCAGATACTTTTTACCTCTTCCAGTAGGTTGTTATTTGAGCTGTTTTTTATGCATTCAGGAAACTTCAACCATCTTTGCAATCTACTGCTGCTCTAATTGTAATTTAAAGCTCTGGGTGGTTTTATTTTGCTGGGAAAGTTGTCATAGTTATAATCATGGCAACAAGCACTTTTGAAGAACCTGTTCTTTAGTAACTTAATATAATGAGTTTATTGGGGTGAAGGGGAAGATATAGCTGTGAAGAGCACATAGCAGATACTCCAAAGACTTTAACATGGCCTTGAGAAATTACAGCAGTTAAAATGTCCATTATTCCGGAACTTGCTTTTATTTTTCAGGTCTTGCCGGTTCATTACTTGCAATAAATAAGCTGCATAAATGTGCTAAGCAGGAGGAGACCGCAGCTGCGATCTGATTGTGAGCATACCTGTTTTAGCACATGATAAAAGTGCTAAACAGTGAGAAAATAGTGGGGGGAAATTACATTCGCTTCTGTGAAGTGAAAAAAGTATAATAATTTGCATATTTGTTCATGGAACAGAAGAAATGCACACAAACATTATTTCCATCATATTGTGGAATTAACCAATCGTTAAATCATTTAAATAATTTGAAACAACATGACGGCATTCATGATGGTATTGTAAGCACGTTCTGGCAAACACCTAGAAGACATAATGCAGGAGTAGGGTTACAATGGTACAGTAAACACTTCTATATGATTCTTATGGTTAGAGCTATTTAAGAATTACAAAGAAAGATCACAGCAATTATAACCTAATCAGTCTGATCTTGAAACACTGGCATTTATGGCTTATTTGTCTATTTGTCTATTTATTTATTTAAAGTTCTTTACCACTTGATTGTAAATAGTGGGTTACAAAACAAAACAAAAGACACATTGATCTCAATTTTTTATTGCATTTAAATATATATATATATATATATATATATATATATATATATATAATTATAAACCACTTTTTTGAGTAAAAATACTTTCCCCGCCCCCCAAATAAAACTCTCTCATACTAAGGTCAGTTGGTACTGCTGAGGACTTGCTTTTCTGCAACCACCTGGAAGTCGAACTAAAATTATTGTTACTACTGTTATTTATTAAAGAATTTTAAAAGCAAAGGGGTAAGGTAAAAGCGGGACGCGGGTGGTGCTGTGGGTTAAACCACAGAGCCTAGGACTTGCCGATCAGAAGGTCGGCAGTTCGAATCCCCGCGACGGGGTGAGCTCCCGTTGCTCGGTCCCAGCTCCTGCCAACCTAGCAGTTCGAAAGCACGTCAGAGTGCAGGTAGATAGGGTAAATAGGTACCGCTTCGGCAGGATGGTAAACGGCGTTTTCATGCGCTGCTCTGGTTTGCCAGAAGCGGCTTAGTCATGCTGGCCACATGACCTGGAAGCTGTATGCTGGCTCCCTCGGCCAATAAAGCAAGATGAGCACTGCAGCTCCAGAGTCGGTCACGACTGAACCTAATGGTCAGGGGTCCCTTTACCTTTACCTTTAAGGTAAAAGCAAAGGAGCTGGGTTCAGTTTAAGAATATTTATGGCATAAGCCCTTACTCTAAACACGCCAGGGGTTTATTTTATCATTTATACATTCACTTTGGAGTGTCCCCCCCCCCTGCATTAAACAGAACAAAACTAACATATGAATTGTTGGATCCAGGCTAAGTTCCTCGAGGTTTAGTGCCGTTGGAATGAATGGGATAGGTTAGCCATAAATCACATTAATTTAAATGGGATTGAAACATGATTAGTCTGGGTCCAACTCAAAATCATTTACTCTGGAGTCACTTGATAAGAACTGGATCTAATTCAGCTAAAATAATTTCTCGTTAACTGAACAATAACATTAGGTGATTATAATACTGTAATTTGCACTGCCGATTAGAAAGCCTGGGTTACAGCCAGACAAATAGAACACCTTATATACGTTACACTTACTTCATAAGTTGGTGAAATTTGGCCCACCGTGGAACGAAAATCATTTTCTGGTTAGTAAGTATTCCTTCCATTAATACTTTGGCTGAGTCTTCCACTTCTACCAAAGGGCACCTGAAGTTATATGGAAAATAAATGTTTGTTTGCTTATTCGTTCCAATTTATAGCCTGCTTTGTTCAAAGACCAAATCCGGCAGTAACTACCATACAGAGCCACAAGCAAGTGTTGTGGTGTATTCCTACACAAGTCCTGTGAAGCAATGGTGCTTCCATTTGAGACTTGCTCTACTCAACAAGCCTTGCATAGGAACAAAGGAAAGTGTGATACCAGCGGTCTGTGAAGCTCAGTATTGTGTATACAGATAGCAGCTCTCCAGGATTTCACATAGGATTCTCTCCCGGTCCTATTTGGAGATGTTGGGGATTGAAGTAGGCTTGTTTGCATGTGAAGCAGAAGCTCTACCACTGAATCACAGCTTAGCATTTATGCCATTATGCTTCTGTTCTGGGCAGTGGTGGAGCAAGCCGATTGGGTGCCTGGGGTGGTGCATGTGCCCTGTGCCAAAGGACAGGGCCAGCCGCCCGCGGGGTGGGGCGAGCTGGGGCACGATGCCCCGCAGGGCCTCCAAAGAGTCTGCCTGCCTCCTTCCACTCAGCCGCCCTACAACTGAGGGGGAGGCGGCAGGCGGACCATTTGGGGCAGTGCGGAGCCTGTGGGCACCGAAGCCATCATGTCACTCCCAGGAG